TGAATGCAAATACAAATCAAAATGAGTTTGTGTTCTTTCCTATTCAATGTGAGCTCCCGATCCTCCAGCCACAGGGTCAATCCTTGAAGACAAATGACAAAATGTGACATGGGAAATAATTAAATTTGGCAAAGACTTCAAAAATGAGTATATATACTTATTGGCCCAATAGTCCGCTTGCCAAGAAGCCATACCAACAAAGTAAAATTTAAAAAAAAAATCAAGCAGAGCGTTCATTGCAATGTAACAAGAGAAAAATAGAAGAGGATTTTTTTTCTGTAAGAAAATACCAAGTTATAAAATTGTTGGCATTTATTTTAGAAAGATGGGCAGTGAAACATAAAGTCCTGCTTAGCATTGATGTTATACCTGAGTAATAATAAAAATCATGGGATGCAAAGAAAATTCTGCTTATTATTCTCCATGCAAAACACAGAGAAATTAAAAACAGGAAAAAACAAAACAGCTGGGTATACCGAGGAACAAACAGGTGCATAGAACCAGAAAGACCCACACCAAACACCAGTAGCCACTTCCTGTGGCTCACAGGAATTTGGGACAATGTATGTGGACATCATAATTTGCCTTCATTTTCTCTACAATGAGAAAGTTTTGCAATTTATAATGTATGCAAAGCAACAAGACGCATTTTTCAGAAGTCACAGGAAAGCAGGGCGGTGGAGGAATTCCAGAAGCCCTCTTGCTGCCTGAAGCAGGAGCACAATGCAATGACAGGGCCTCCCGCAGCCACGCTGCAACCCATGCCAGGCCTGGGAGCTAGATGAGATTCCCCCGGCCAACCCATCCCCTGCGGCACCCCTGTGCCAGGACTGTGCCCGCCCCGCCTCCTGACCTGCCAGGTGAGCCCTGCCCGCGTGTGGGCCGTCAGTCCTTTGCCTCAGGTCACAAGCCCTGGGCTGCAGGTGCCTGTGAGGTCACACAAAGCCAGAGGAGGAGGGGGTGACCACAGCTTCCCGGGGCGGCGGTGCACACGGCCTCCTCCATCCTGCCCCTGAGTTGGGGGATGTTCCCTAGCTCTACGGACAAGGTGGGCCTGGCGTGTGCCGCCGCATGGCTGTGGACGGAGAGCGTGCCAGCAATCCCGCCACTGAACCTGCCACGACGCCTCCACCGGCCACGCTGCCCTGGGGCCTCCCATGCGCAAGCCCCTCGGTCACTGTCTGCCGAGTCACTGGGTGTCACCGTCGCCCTGCGACTCCACTCCAGCAGGGGGGCTCCTGAATCTACCACGCATGGTTAGGTTTGAGGGTCTAATTTGTAAGCTTAGAGAGAGAGGATGAGAGAGCAAGAGAGCGAGAAAGAGAGAGCTTTTTTAAAAAAAAGAACAAAAAACACAGAGTGGCACAATCACCTTCCAGGTCTTGATTTCACCATTGATCATGGAGAGAAGGTTCTGTTTCTAAACATTCTCAGAGCGTGGGGGTCCTGCAGTGCCTGGGGGGAGGGGCGGTGGGAAGGCACAGATTCCTTCACCCCCAGTGCTCTCCAGGGTGCAGGGGTGGTGCAGGGGTATACAGGTGTGCATGCGTGCAGTGCAGGGATATACAGGTGTGCGTGCGTGCAGAGTGAGCCTGAGGCTTAGCCTCTAGGTTCCTAAGGAATGGTGCAGGCAGCAAGCCGTCTGAGACAAAGGCAAAGCTCTGAGTCTGCTGGTTTACACAGCAGGACAGCAACACTGGAGTCATTCCTTCCCCTGTCTCCAGATTGCCCAAAGCAACGAGAAGGAAACCACTCACACTGCCCAACATCCAGAAGGCTGATGTGGTAGATTTTTATATATATTTTACATAGCTATATATATATTATATAATCTGCATTATATATATATAACACAACGTAGTAATTTCCCAAATCACATCCTCTGAGGAGGAGGTTCGCTTTTCCCCCATCACCCTTAGAAGGATCGTTACTATTCCTTGGGTCCACTGTGTGCTCAGCAGGACGTGGAAAAAACAAGCTTTGTGTTTTTAAATTCATCAAACCCAACTCCCGTGTCACTCCAATGCTTCAATTATCAAACTCCCCAACCTGTGCACTCTAGGAAAGTAACTGTGTTAAGCGAGGTGTTGAAGCAGTAACATGGAGAGCCTCCCCTGTCCCTTCCACCCAGCCTGCTGTCTGAGAAGCCTTCCCTCCTGTCCTTCCTATCAGGGTGTCTGTGGCCAGGGAAAAATCACTGCTGCACTCCAACTTAACGACGTTCTAAGCTCTAGGCCCCAGGCGTCAGGCCTAAGCCATGGTGCTTCCATCACAGGGTCCGAGGATAGAGCAGCATTTCCACTACACGTCCTTTGATGCATTTAAAGGTCATAGTCTGCAGATGATCCCTGGCTTCATTACATTTCCAAATGGTGAGCATTACAAGCCGGGTCAGGAATGCCTGAGAGCGGCTTCCTAACTGAAGCCGGGGGAGAGAGGGCTCACACAGGCCTGGAAGCAGAGGCAGGGTCTGCAGGCTAGCCCCCTGCTGTTCTGCGGGGAAGCCCAGCAAGGTCAAGGTCGCAGGGTCAACAGAGCACGGGGCACACAGCAAGGAGCAAACACTCTGTGAGTGCCCTCTGCCAGGGACCTGGGCCTGCGTCTTTCCAAGCCGTTACTAGAATCCTTCATCAGATCCTAAAATTCGTCCATGTTTACCGATAAACCTAAAACTCCTCAAATTGCTTTTACGTGTTCAAAGTGAAAACACGGTGTTCCTCATTCCAACCTGAGCGAGGGTAACTGGCGGGAAGCGTCACAAAGCCTGAATAGGAACAGCTCACTTGTCAAGTGCTTCACAGGGTCTTACAAACACTAATACAAGAAAGGGAAAAAAAAAAACCTATCCCACACAGACACAGAGCACCCACCTCACAAATCTAGAGGATCTGATGCCTAATGGACTAATGGCTTTATTTACTGGAAAAGTCCAAAACACAGAGTGCATTTCAGATGTGAACTTGGGGGAGGTGGGGAGGGAGGGATGCTCCCTAATTCCCCCAGACAGCTGTAATTTTCCTCATGCTAATTTGAGCTTCTCATGAACATAATTAAAACTGTAGTCAACTGATCCAGGGTCTCCTTTTTCCACTCTCTCAACAAGGCTGTAAAATCACCTCATTACTTTGCTCAGGAAACCGCACCGAAACATGTCTTCAAGGAAGTCGCGTATAAAGAGAGGCTATTTTTACAGAAAGTTCTTAAAGAATTCACTTGAAGTCACTTAAATGTTCACTCGGGAGACGTGCCATCCACATGCAACGCACTGTCATAAACCATGAAATCAAGGCCAGCAGACTTCACAAGTTTCAACTTCACAAGTTTCAACTCTTTCTCCAAAACGGATTGGGAGAACCATACCACACTCAAACTTCAAAAAAAAAAAAAAAAACACAAACATGTCTTCATGGATATATGTTTCAAATTAAACAGAGTTTCACACACTGCCCCCCACCCTGCTAAAGGAACACTCTATAATGCCGGTGTCCTGCCATGCACTGATTCGTTTGGGGTACCCAAATGAGCTTTCCAGATTGACAAAGAATATTGGATCTAATTGTCATGAAATACGTGTATAATTAAGACCAAAACTAAGAACAAAGGGGACTGCATTTGGGGTCATAAACTCAAATAATGTCTACTCTTTTAGCTGAAAGCAGCATCTTACAAATTTGCAATTTTAAAGTCTCCTACTATCATAATTGTATTTTATTAGTAGTTGTAGTTATAATTAATCATTGTAGTTGTACAATAACTATATTTTAATAGACTCCAAGCCTTGAAGCCAATGAAAGGTAAATCCCCACATGAATTTTGTAATAGATGTCCAAACACACACAGCGGGATAGAAACTCAGCAGAACTTCTAAAACACGGCGGGTCTCTTCTAGTCTCCATTACAAACATTTCAAATAACAAAAATACCCACTCAAAGAAGAGCTTTTAAAACACAAGGGCCCACGTCTGGGTAAAGTTGAATTTTCCTGAGCTTTTCAAATTAACGGAATCCTTGACATGCCTCTTACTTTGACCAAGTAAAACAAAACAACACAAAAACTAAAGACACACAACAAATACCACCTTCCTTTTCCTCCTCTGAAGATCTGCTTCATTTTTCTCATTTCTGTCAATATTGCCGAGGCCTGGTGGCCTGGAAGGTGTTACAGTGACAGAGCCACCCCCTCACCGTCTGAGCTGTTGCCTAGGTTTTTTATTTTTACTGTGGCTTCATTTCCAACAATTAGCCCTAGAAGGATTTACCTCTGTGCTAAACTCCCTGTAACATGCACTACAACCATCCACAAGCAAACTCACCAGAGCACAGAGAACCCACTGGCTCCTGCTTCCCAAACCCGACATCTCCAGGAAAAAGATCTTACAGCTCGAAGAGGAGTAGGTATTTTTATTAACAGATCAACAGCACGCCAACACACCAAGTTACCACCGTTTTGAGTTATGAGAAAGCTCCGTTCTCAGCATGGCGGTCCCACAAATCAAGCCAGCGTTTGCCATGTCCCAGCGGCAATGGCTATATGCGGAGTGTCTCTTCCCATCCATGGGGACCGGCTGGGCTTCCTGGCCTAGGGATTCTCTGAAGAGCATCGGAACGTTCAACACTGGCCGGCCCGTCTGTTCCCAGGCCCCTGCCCTCCAGCCTCTGAACGCTGTGGCTTTGGATCAGAACCGTGTCTTGGTACCAGTAAGGAGAAGAAAAGAATCTGAAAACTCAGAAGCGCTCCATCAAGCCTTTGAGAAATAATCCACAACCCTCAACAGTGAATTTAGAAACCCCCATTTTTTTCTGAGTTTGAAGTTTTTAAGCCTTGCGGATGGTTGGAGTAGGAAAAAGGAAATTTACTAGGCAGTGCAAAGGAAATCTTGTTGTCCTCTATTGTGGTAGGGGGTGTTGCCCAACCCTAACTTATCTGCCTTGATAAAGGAAGCCAAAGAAAGCGCAAGAAGAACAAGATTTGGTCAAATGTAAAGAAACCCTCCTCTTACCTTAATAGTGCTGGCCATAATGCAATCAAGTTTATTGATCGTTAATAAATGTTAATAATAATTATTGCTTCTCTCTGACCAGAAAGTAGTTTTGATGAGGTTGTTTAGAGCGGATGAGATTGTGCTAAGTCTGGGAAATGAAGTCAGCCAATGGCAGGAAGAGGTTTCTATTGGTCCTGGCTGCCCAGCCCGAAGAAACAGGATATTTGGGAGTGGAGAGATAAGAGCCTCTGAAAACAATGTTGTTTTTCTTGATGATATGTGGCCAAGAGATTTTTTTTCATTTTTTTTTTAAAAGGTACCAATTGCCTGGAAGTGGGCTGTCACAGCAGGTGGGGGGGGGGGGGGTTGACACGCTACAGCAGACACAGAGGACACAGATGGGAAGGACTCTGCTCAGCACCACCGCAGCCTGGGCGCCAGCCCTTTCAACCCACTTCTCCCCAGAAATGCCGCCGGGCCAGGACAGAAGCCCCCAGTTACCTTCCCCTCGAGGGACACTCAGCCCTCCTTTCAGGTGACCACATTGCGGTCATGAGCAATAAGGCCATTTGCTGGCTACTTCTGAGGAGTCTTCATCATTGGACCTCTTAACTGAACATTCTAGAAGCACTCCATCTTGTCCTTCCAAAGGCATGCTTGCTCCATGAATTTTTTTTTTAATGAGTTGAGAACTCAGAATCTAGAATCAAAGTAACCTAAAAAACATTTTTTTTTAAATTAACAAACCTGTCAACATCTTGCTTTTGAGTATTTCTCTGTAGGACCAAAAAATACAACTATTTTAGAATGCCAGTGAGCGAGCGGATCCCACTCGGACAAAATAGAGATGGGACGGATCCCAGAGCCGTCTGGCCAGCCAGAGTGGAAGTTCGAGCCACACTCAGTAAGTGCACCAGCTGCAAGGTCAAGGCCAGGGGGCTGTGCCTTCTTCAAGGAAGTGGAGCCAGTGCAGGCCCAGCCATCCTCAGAGGACTGTAGGCCTTTTATTACTCATTGGCAGGAAATTACTCGTTCTCTGGAAGAAATACCATGTGAATGCAGCCACAAGAGCACTGGACCTGTACAGAGGTGCGGTCTCAGCGGGGAAGGGTGACAGAGGTGGGTGTTAGTGACGGGTTAGTGTTTGTTCAGACTTTGGGCCTGTGTCAGGGCTCTTTCTCTGTCTTTATCGCCCCCTGTCACATTCCTTTGTGTTGGGACAGATGGTTTAGGAAAAGGAAGAGAGAGAGGAGGAAGAGGTGGTAGCAGCAAGAAGAGAAAGAAGGAGAAGGTAAAAAAGGAAGAAAGCAAAAGGGCACCAAAGAAGAAAAGAGCAGGCTGTGTGGCCCAGTGGTCAGTCTCGTGCCAAGCAAAAGCAGTGATCTGAGTTCAAACCCCAGTACCACCGAAACAAGAAATAACAATTAATTAACTCATTAACTGCAACTTTTACTTTTAGTTAAAAAAGAAGAAGAAAGAAAAACTATACTGTAAGAACTCTCACTCTGTCTAAAGATCTGAACCTGGTAAGTTCTCAGCACCTACATGTGTTGATTTCCGCTCTTTTCATCTCTGAACAATGAATAAGATGGCCAGCTGATTAAAACTGTGCTTTCCCTAGAATTTCAAAGTCTTGAGTTGTTTTATCTGGGCAGTTTCCACCAGAATTCAGGAGTGCTAAGAAGAATTAAAAAAAAAAAAAACTTAAAAGACCTCTTGAGGGGCTGGGAGGTTGGCTTAGTGGTAGAGTGCTTGCCTCGCATGCATGAGGCTCTGGGTTCGATTCTTCAGCTCCACATAAGCAAAACAAAAAACACAAAAACGGAAGTGATGTTTTGGTTCAAGTGGTAGGGTGCTAGCCTTGAGCTGAAGAGCTGAGGGACAGCGCCCAGGCCGAGTTCAAGACCCACAACCAAAAAAAAAAAAAAAAAAAAAAAAGGCCTCTTGCGCACTGTGGCCAGAGCCTGGCTTTAAACAAGATGAGCCCCCTAGTAAGCAAACAGCCAGGCAGAAGCTGTGCACGGTGCAGCCTCTCTGCTATGTCCTGGTTCTGACCTAGCCTGACCTGTGCTCCTTGACCCAGCCCCGACCTGTGCCCAGTACAAGGGCTTCAGCATGGTTGACAATCTGCCCTTGACTTCCTGGTTCTTGCCCAACCCAAATCCAACAGTTGATAGAGACACACTGACAGCAGTTTCATTCTCAAAATAATTCCAAACTCACAGTGACAAGCTCACAAACTTAGTAGTGACAAGGCAACATAGCCTTGCAGCCCTTTTGCTGGTTACCCTGTTACATATATATAATTTTTTGCTTTATATCTCTCAAATCTAGGTGTTTTCTTACTCCCATATTTACGTATCATATGTGCATCTTTATCCTTCAGCTAATAAAATACTGTTTTATTAGACGCTAACTTCCAGGCTTGGGTGCTCATAAAAAGAAACTATGCTATCCTTTGGTCTCTTCCCTAATGATTTTATCTATACACAATATCTTTGAAAATATACAGCATGATCAGATGGAATGGTAATGTTGGGATCATGATATAAACCATATTAAATTTTTTAACTTTTTTTTTTGGTCGGTCCTGGGGCTTGAACTCTGGGCCTGGGTGCTGTCCCTCAGCTCTTCAGCACAAGACGGGAGCTCTACCACTTGAGCCACAGCGCCACTTCCAGTTGTCTAGTGGTTTATTGGAGATAAGTCTCTCACAAACTTTCCTGCCTGCTGGCTTTGAACCGTGATCCTCAGATCTCAGCCTCCTGAGTAGCTAAGATGACAGGCGTGAGCCACTGGTACCCAGCTAAAAAAACTTTAAGAACAGAAGCCTTCCTTATTTTGGTTTTTTGGTTTGTCTGTTTTAATCTCCCTGATTTCTAAGGACAAACACTTCCAGGACTTCTTTCATCTTCAAAGAATAATTTCTAATGTCGACACTATCATATCAGGGCTCGAGTTGGGTAATCGCTGAATATTTAATGATAAAGGTTTTTTTTAATAAAAGAAAAACAACACAATTGGCCCCTGGTAGCCTGAGGTACCGCTGATAATTAGTCCCTAGGGAGACCTAGCTGAAGGCCAGTCACTCCATCCTTCCTAGACTGTCACCCAGAGTCTGCGCCCCGGCGACCAGGGTGGAGTGTCTGTCCACCGGAGCTGCCCCTCAGCCCAGCAGGACTGATATGGGGACAATGGAGCAGATGGCCTCCACTCTGGGACCGTTCCAACCGGATCCTAGAGGACAGGGTCCTGTTTGCTGCCTTTGACATACAGGGCAGCGAGCTGGACCGAAGTGGCCCACATGGTGGGGGGGTGGCCTGTGGATGGCATGGTGAATAGATTCTCGCTGGCCGACATGTATCACAAGATCACCAGGAATTCACCAAAACCTTTCCCAAGTCTGTTCGTAGTGTACTCCACACAGAAAGGGAAAGAAGGGTCAACACAAAGACCATCGGCAGACTGAACAATGAAAGTAGCCCAACCAGGAATTTGTTGGAGAGCCATGCGTTTGTGTTTCCTGAAGACTCAGCCGGAGTTCCTGGCTGCCTCCTCCTGCCCTTGCCTGTGGAGAATGGGGGGAAGGGATGGACTGGGGCTCACTGGTGATGCGGCTTTAGGAAATGATGTACATGGTCACGGCGAAAAGATGGGACGTCTCAACGGGAGAACCGTGACCTAACTCCTCCCCCCACCGCCGTTACAGGCACGTGCTGCCACGGACAGCACCGCAGAAGATGGATTGCTCAGGGACACGGAAAACTGCTCTGCCTGGTGAATTTAAAATCAAAGAAAAGGCTGGCGCTGGTGGCTCATACCTGTAATCCTAACTACTCAAGAGGCTGAGACCTGAAGATCACAGTTCAAAGCCAGCCCACTAAGAAAGATCGTGAGATGCTTATCTCCAATAAATTTCCAAAAAGTTGAAATTGGAGCTGTGGCTCAAATGGGAAAGTGCCAACTTTGAGCACAAAAGCTCATAAATAATGCCCAGGCCCTGAGATCAGGCCCTAGCACTGGTACATGTACACTTGTACACAAGTGCATGTGCACATGTACACACACATACACACACACACATATCCCCTTCCAAAGGAGAAATTCTCACAGACCTATTTAGTTACAAAGGAAAAGTGAAATAAAAACACTAGCCGGTTCTACACCAGGTAAAGTTTTCTCCCTTGCTTTTCCCTCCTCCATTCTTTCACTTGTACTTTCAAAACAACTTGTAAGAAGCATAAACTCTATTTTAATGTAATCGATATAGAGTTCAAGTGGCCTGGCTTGTTTTTTGTGAAAATCTGAAAAACGTAGGCATGTTCTACGGAACACATGGCACGTGCACCCCTCAGTCCCCATGGCCTTCATTTGCACACTTGAAAACGTGCACACATCTGTCAGCAGTGAGACAGAATTGCTCATCAAAGCACACACGGGCTAGAAGGCACTCCTGGGTTTTGAGGCGGCCATCAGCCCAACTGACATCAATCCATGCTCTGGACACCACAGCCTGCCCTGCCCGTGCCAGCGACACAACGTTCACTGAGGAGGGGGCAGACCTCCCCTCACCCACCGCCCTCATCCCAGCCACAGAGATGCCACGTCAGTCCACCCAAATTCCACACTCGAGAAACTCAGAGCCCGGAGCCGACCCGTGACATAATCCAGGCTTCTTGAGGGCAAAACAATAGGAGAAAAATGCTGTACATTGTCCCTAAGATGACACACGGATGTTAAAAATGCAGGGTGTTCAGGGTGTTCACGAGAGCGTCACAAGAAGGATGGCCCAGGGATTTCTGCCAGGGACGTGCCTGGGCCTGGAGATAAGAATCACGCATCTGCAGCTGCCCCACAATGGAAAACTACAGCTTGCTGGCAGAGGAACTTCATTCCGCCTCTGTCAATGGAGAACTTGCTGGAGAGCACGTGTGGCTCCCAGCATGCTCAGGGCTCAAGGTCTCCGGCTCCACTCTGGCTAAGGACTGGTTTCATGCCACTGGGTAAGAGAGAGAGAGAGTGTGTGTGTGTGTGTGTGTGTGTGTGTGTGTGTGTGTGTGTGTGTGTGTGTGTGTGTGTGTGTGTGTGTGTGTGTGTGTGTGTGTGTGTGTGACAATCTCCAGCTGCTTATTAAGAA